CCATCCATCCATCCATCCATCCATCCATCCATCCATCTATCCATCTATCTATCTATCTATCTATCTATCTATCTATCTATCTATCTATCTATCTATCTATCTATCTATCTATCTATCTATCTATCTATCTATCTATCTATCTATCTATCTTATCTATCTTATCTATCTTATCTATCTTATCTATCTATCTATCTGCTTCTCTGTCTATCTTTCATCGCTCCTTATTTCTCCCAATCCCACTCCATCGCTCTCTCCGTCGCTTTGTCTCTCCATCTCTCTTTCCAACTCTCTCTGCCCCTCTCTCTTTCTCTCTCTCCCTCTTGCTTTCATTGACTCTAATACTGTCTTCATTCACATACTTAAACTTATCCAAGGATATATGACTAAACCCCGTGATATTCGCATTTTAAACAATAAATTGAAAAGATTGAAGTCAGAGAATGTCATCCAAAGCGTTGATTGGATTCCATACGACTTGAAGAAATTCTGACACTATTTTGTGCCTGACCATGGTTTGAAACTAGTCATGAAACAGAAAACGTTGTATGCTGAGTTATTTCTGGGTTAACGATCTAAGCACCCTTCTCACAATATTGCGTCATGTATCGCATTAAGCTACACCTCGTCCCGTCAAGTAGTTGTACCTGTGACACTGGCCGTAGTGCGTGGCTTTCTTGGGGCAGTAGTGCGACCTGTGAGAGTCCCTGGGACACAAGCAGTACCTCTCCATGGCACACCTGGCCCACGGTTCTACCACTAGCCTCTGGACGAACGGCTCGTTCTTGAAGACGGCGATGCCGGACATCAGCTCGGGGTACTGATTGAAGGCGCAGTGTGTTTGGTTCATGTAGTCAAACATCTGATGGATCATGTTCAACACGTCGCACGAGATCAGCAAAATAAAGATGAGGGGGGAAAAAACGTTAGAGAACCTATTTATTTTATATGTTTTTAAATTAATAACACGGATGAGAAATTACTGAATGTCTTTTTCCATGGTGGCTATTCCCCAAGTTGAATAACTGGAAGGTGTCTTATGAAAAGGTGGGAGGGGAGTGGAGGGGGTTGGTCCACTTACGGTGGTGCTTCAGTTCTTGCCATAGAAGGGCGGAATTTTCGGGAAATGCAGAGCTTTTCTCATGGAAAGGGCTATGAAAATCGTGCCCCTCTCCCGAGAAAGGCACTAACATTAACTACGCCACTGTATCTGGGCGAATAAAAATATATAGTGCCAAAAACATAAATAGTATACTTGCAGAGAGAACTTAAGAACTTGAAACATTCAACTAGGACTAAACGGTGTAAGCTTTGCAGAGAGAACTTAAGACCTTGCAACATTCAACTAGGACTAAAGGGTGCAAGCTTGCATTAACACCTTAAGGCCTTGCAATATTCAACTAGGACTAAAGGGGGCAAGCTTGCATAGACAACTTAAGACTTGCAACATTCAACTAGGACTAAAGGGAGCAGAGGCGTAGCGAGGGGAGGGCAGGGGGGACAGATGTCCCCGGGCGCCAGCTAGTAAGGGGCGCCAAAATGTGCTTTGATATTATTTTATTGATGAAAATAATGGGTTTGAGAGTTGAAAAAAAAGAATAAGGGGCGCTTTAAAATGGATCTTGTCCCAGGGCGCGAATCTTGTCCCCGGGCGCCAAACACCCTCGCTACGCCTCTGAAAGGGAGCACGCTTGCAGAGAGAACTTAAGACCTTGTAACATTCAACTAGGACTAAAGGGAGCAAGCTTGGAGAGAGAACTTAAGACCTTGTAACATTCAACTAGGACTAAAGGGAGCAAGCTTGGAGAGAGAACTTAAGACCTTGCAACATTCAACTAGGATTAAAGGGTGCAAGCATGCATAGACAACTTAAGACCTTGAAACATTAAAATAAGACTAAAGGGTGCAAGCTTACAGAGAGAACTTAAGACCTTGCAACCCTAAACATCGGTGAGACAACTAATCATATCAGTAGAGTAGCCAGGAACGTGTGTGCTGCTTAAAAAAAACAAAAAACAATGAACATTTTAATGCAAGTTTTCTTTCATATACTTTCAATGCATAATTTTAACACCCAGTATATTTGTAATGATTTTATGATAAACTGCTCCTAGACATAGGATATTTGAACACTAAGGTACAATCCTTGGCTGTCCTACGTAGCCTACTAAATTCACTAACCGTGACTTGTTAAGGCAAAAGTCTAAACTGAAAGGATCAAGACATGGTCAACAAATGGGATGAGACATTAATATAACAAATTAAAGTTTTGAAGAAAAAAAATTACCTCTGGCAGGGTTTGATGAGCTACCGGTTCCCCCCAGTCTTTCCTCATGAGCTGCAGGCCAAGAGTTTGCGCCCTTTCAAAAAACGTGTGAGCTCCGTTGAAGAAACGAATAGAGGCATCCTGCCATACCAGGTATTTCCTCGCTCTAGACAAACTGGCCTGTTTGGCAATAAAGAAAGACATTTTTGGGTTAGGTTTTTATCTTTCTGTGTTTGAAAAAATTTGAATTCGTGTAGAAATTTATTATTATAATTAAATTAAATATTTTTGGTATCACCAGCTTTGGTGTTGCTCTCTTTGCATGCTGCTTTTCTCAGTCCGCTCTGACGTATTGTTCATTCTAAAAGGCAACTCTTAAAACAGATTAAATCCTCAAAGCCACGACGGTACGTAACAGGGGACGTAAGGAGGTACACAATAAAGGGTTTAGTAAATTAGTTAATTTTTTTTTATTAAACTTGAAAGGGTGTTCATAGAGTTGAGTAGCTTTTTTTTTTTTGTAAATCCACGGCTTAAAACTATGTTTAATCAGTGCAAGTGGCTGACATTCTAAGCATTACCATATCACATACATTTAGGGGCACTCATCAACTATGATACGTAGGTGACACACATATATGTAAGAAGGTCACATACAGCTGTGGTAAGTAGGTAACATACATGTCAGTAGGTCGCATATAGCGATGGTAAGTGGCGGATATACAACTGTGGTAAGAAGCTGACACGCTGGCTCCCAGAATCACTGACTGACTGACTCCCAACTGACTGACTCCCCGACTCACTGACTCCCTAACTCCCTGACTCACTGACTCACTGACTCCCCGACTCAATGACTCCCCGACTCACTGACTCCCTAGCTCCCTGACTCACTGACTCCCTGACTCACTGACTCCCCGACTCACTGACTCCATGACCCCCTAACTCATGTACTCCCTCACGTACCCTAATGACAAGAGGTTTCCACATGTAACATCGAACGTCCCTGTGGCTGGAGGAGAATTTTTCAAAAGGGAAGCTCACAACTAGACATCGACAACATTTCTCCATCTGTTGAGATTGCAAATAAAAAGTAATAGAAGATAGACACATTGGACAATTTATGACAGAGTGCTTTTCCGTAGCAATAACTT